AATTTCTTAAAGTTTTCATGGAAATTAATTAACTTACAAGAACTCAAGAAACTTAATCGCAGCACCTTATAAGTTGTCTTTGATGAAACTTGCATAAAAGAAGGATTGTTGCCCAAATACACAAACACACACACGTATATATATATATATATATATATATATATATATATATATATATATATCGTAGTCTGAAGAATTTTCCTCTCGGAATGAAAAGCATCTCTGAATTTTTTTATTTTCTCATTCGAATACCCACAATTAGTGTGATATATTTAAGTACACAAACCGATAGACGTAATAAAGTTTAAAATAAAACACGCGTCTATTTTAAAGACGGTTATCCACTAAATGTAACATTTGAAATAATAAATCCTATTTTATAGTGATACAAATTTCAGAGTAAATATAAATCCATTAAATCCTTAGATAAATATGTTTCCAGAGATAAAGAAGTTATAAGTTCGAGTCTTGTCCGAAACTTATAGCTTTATTTTATTCTGCACCGTTTACTGATCGCTATAGAGTGACCATCTCAATAGTTGTGGTACAAAGTAACTTAATCTTAAATGTAAGAAAAATTAGTCCCAAAAGAAGAGGTTTTCTGTTTTTATTTCTCGGACGAGGTGTTGTAATTATTTATACTATTTAGCTTGTTCGGACTATTGTACTCATCTTCGTTGCCATATTCTCGATGTTTCGACCGTTGCACGCTGCAGCCTGCTTCAGGTTCTCAGCCCTGTGGAGAAAAGCGTTGGATGAAACCAGTGACTTGGTCTAAAGAGTTGTGAGTTCAACACCTACCTGAAGCAGACGTGAACAAAAACTTGGAGAAGTGAGTTAAAGGGAGAGTACTTATACTGAGTCACCCGGAAGAGACATGCATGAGGAATTGGAACTATCTACCTCGATGGATGGTATAGTCGTGAATATGGCAACAAAGATGAGGGTAACACTCCGAACAATGTAAAGTGTAAATATCAGAGGTCTTGTTTCAGTATATTTAAAGGGAAAAAATGAAGACAACAGTAATTACCTCCGCCTTCAGCCTCTTTATCTTATTTTATACAAGAATTTTAATAATGACTGTACATTTCTATCTATCCATTTCCCTAATATATTCATTTCATGATTGAATACAAGGTGTGGGTCAACAAACAATTTTTTCCAACTCATGGGACCAGGTTATTTCGTCATATATGACGTCAAATATATCGCTTCAGGAGACTAATTGCTTTTTCGCCTTTCATTATCATTTACAAATTGTCTTGAATTCAAAGCTCGAGAAATGGCATTCAGAAGAAAGGAATTTCTCGCGCGATATTTCGTCAACTGCTCCAGGTTAATGACTCTTTCATTTCCTTAATCACCATCTATGAATTGTCTTGAATAACTCTCCGATTCACTGACAGAGTTAGAAGGCCTTGAACAAAGAAATTACACGCGAAATGACTTCAGAAAATATTCTTGGTTTCTCTGCTCTATTCTACATCTACAAACTGCGCTGAATAAGTTCGATACACTAGCAAAAATAAGAAGCTATTTTCCCATGCAATATCCCATCAGCTATATTGCTGTCACTGTCTTCATCACATGTATGAATTAACTTTAAACAGTTTTCGATTCACTGCCAGAGTAAGAAGATCCATTAAAAGAAATGGTTTGAGAGATATCTGAGCATGTTATAAAACATTATTTAATTTTATTGACTTCATGGTAATCAGTAAATTGCATCGAACTCAAATATAATTAAATACCACTCGAAATAGTTTTTGCTGTTCATCAATTTAAGTCTAAAAAGACACTCAATGTAGTGAGTTAATGAATGAGATTGTTGCAAGATTGTAAAGGAAAGAGAAAGAGGTAGAGATGATGGTATGTAGGATAGAGAAAAGTTGAACAGAACTGAAGAGGTTATGATTGTCATGGTTTGTGAAGCATTTCCTCGAAAGTCTGTCAAATTAACACTTCTGTGTGGAAGTTACTCCTTACGAAAGGAATACAAAGGAATAAAGATGGGTTGACACCGTGGCATGGTGGGTTCTAGCTATGAATATCTGGAGTGAGGGAACTAACAAATGGAATCTGTAAAACATTTTCCCTCAAGAAAGGCGGGAAAGCCATTACTATGTAAGGGTTTAGAGAGAGGGTAATTACAGGAAAAAGACTGGGTATGGGGGATGAGGAAAGGATAAAAAGAAGAAGAGAGGAGAATAAAATGAAGAGAGGAGGATAAAAAGAAGAAAAGAGGAGAATAAAAAGAAGAAAGAAGGATAAAAAGGAGGATAAAATGAAGAAAGAAGGATAAAAAGGAGGATAAAATGAAGAAAGGAGGATAAAAAGAAGAGAGGAGGATAATATGAAGAGAGGAGGATAAAAAGGAAGATAATATGAAAAGAGGAGGATAAAAAGGAGCATAATATGAAGAGAGGGGTATAAAAAGACGAAGAGAGGAGGATAAAAAAAATAAAGGAGGATAAAAAGAAGAAGAGAGGAGGATAAAATGAAGAGAGGGGGGTAAAAAGAAGAAATGAGGAGGAAAGAATGAAGAGAGGAGGATAAAAAGAAGAAGAGAGGAGGATAAAATGAAGAGAGGAGGATAAAAAGAAGAGAGGAGGATAATTTGAAGAGAGGAGGATAATTTGAAGAGAGGGGGATAAAAACAGGAAGAGAGGAGGATAAAAAGACTAAGAGAGGAGGATAAAAAGAAGAAGAGAGGAGGATAAAAAGGAGAGAGGAGGATAAAAAGACTAAGAGAGGAGGATAAAATGAAGAAGAGAGAGGGATAAAATGAAGAGAGGAGGATAAAAAGAAGAAGAGAGGAGGATAAAAAGAAGAGAGAGGGATAAAAAGAAGAAGGGGGGATAAAAAGGAGAAGAGAGGCGATTAAAAAAAAGAGAGGGAGATAAAAAGAAGAAGAGAGAGGGATAAAAAGAAGAGAGGAGGACAAAAAGAAGAAGAGAGGAGGATAAAAAGAAGAAAGGAGGATAAATAAAGAAGAGAGGAGGATAAAAAGAAGAAGAGAAGGATAAAATGAAGAGAGGAGGATAAAATGAAGAGAGGAGGATAAAAAGAAGAGAGGAGGATAATATGAAGAGACGGGGATAAAAAGACGAAGAGAGGAGGATAAAAAGAAGAGAGAAGAATAATATGAAGAGTGGGGGATAAAAACGGAAGAGAGGAGGATAAAAAGACTAAGAGAGGAGGATAAAAAGAAGGAGGATAAGAAGAAGAAGAGAAGAGGATAAAATGAAGAGAGGAGGATAAAAAGAAGAGGAGAGGAGGATAAAAAGAAGAAGAGACGAAAATAAAATGAAGAGAGGAGGATAAAAAGAAGAAAAGAGGAGGATAAAATGAAGAAAGAAGGATAAAAAAAGAAGAGAGGAGAATAAAATGAAGAGAGGAGGATAATATGAAGAGAGGAGGATAAAAAGAAAAGAGGAGGATAAAAAGAAGAAGAGAAGGATAAAATGAAGAGAGGGGGATAAAAAGAAAAGAAGAGGATAATATGAAGAGAGGGGGATAAAAAGAGGAAGAGAGGCGAATAAAAAGACTAAGAGAGGAGGATAAAAAGAAGAAGAGAGGAGGATAAAAAGATGAAGAGAGGAGGATAAAAAGAAGAAGAGAGGAGGATAAAATGAAGAGAGGAGGATAAAAAGTAGAGAGGATGATAAAATGAAGAGAGGAGGATAACATGAAGAGAGGAGGATAAAAAGAAATGAGGAGGATAAAAAGAAGAAGAGGAGGATAAAAAGATGAGAGGAGGATAAAAAGAAGAAGAGAAGGATAAAATTAAGAAAGGGGAATAAAAAGAGGAAGAGAGGAGGATAAAAAGACTAAGAGAGGAGGATAAAAAGAAGAGGAGGAGGATAATATGAAGAGACGGGGATAAAAAGACGAAGAGAGGAGGATAAAAAGAAGAGAGAAGAATAATATGAAGAGTGGGGGATAAAAACGGAAGAGAGGAGGATAAAAAGACTAAGAGAGGAGGATAAAAAGAAGGAGGATAAGAAGAAGAAGAGAAGAGGATAAAATGAAGAGAGGAGGATAAAAAGAAGAGGAGAGGAGGATAAAAAGAAGAAGAGACGAAAATAAAATGAAGAGAGGAGGATAAAAAGAAGAAAAGAGGAGGATAAAATGAAGAAAGAAGGATAAAAAAAGAAGAGAGGAGAATAAAATGAAGAGAGGAGGATAATATGAAGAGAGGAGGATAAAAAGAAAAGAGGAGGATAAAAAGAAGAAGAGAAGGATAAAATGAAGAGAGGGGGATAAAAAGAAAAGAAGAGGATAATATGAAGAGAGGGGGATAAAAAGAGGAAGAGAGGCGAATAAAAAGACTAAGAGAGGAGGATAAAAAGAAGAAGAGAGGAGGATAAAAAGATGAAGAGAGGAGGATAAAAAGAAGAAGAGAGGAGGATAAAATGAAGAGAGAGGGATAAAAAGAAGAGAGGAGGACAAAAAGAAGAAGAGAGGAGGATAAAAAGAAGAAAGGAGGATAAATAAAGAAGAGAGGAGGATAAAAATAAGAAGAGAGGAGGATAAAAATAAGAAGAGAGGAGGATAAAATGAAGAGAGGAGGATAAAAAGAAGAGAGGAGGATAATATGAAGAGACGGGGATAAAAAGACGAAGAGAGGAGGATCAATAGAAGAGAGGAGGATAATATGAAGAGAGGAGGATAAAAAGAAGAGGAGAGGAGGATAAAAAGAAGAAGAGAGGAGGATAAAATGAAGAGAGGAGGATAAATAGTAGAGAGGATGATAAAATGAAGAGAGGAGGATAACATGAAGAGAGGAGATTAAAAAGAAATGAGGAGGATAAAAAGAAGAAGAGGAGGATAAAATGAAGAGAGGAGGATAAAAAGATGAGAGGAGGATAAAAAGAAGAAGAGAAGGATAAAATGAAGAAAGGGGAATAAAAAGAAGAAGAGAGGAGGATTAAATGAAGAGAGGAGGATAAAAAGAAGAGAGTGGGATAAAAAAAGAAGAGAGGAGGATAAAAAGACTAAGAGAGGAGGTTAAAAGAAGAAGAGACGAGGATAAAAAGAAGAAGAGAGGGGGATAAAAAGAAGAAGAGAGAGGGATTAAAAGGAGAAGAGAGGGGGATAAAAAGAAGAGAGGGGGATAAAAAGGAGAAGAAAGGAGGATAAAAAGAAGAGGGTGGGATAAAAAGAAGAGAGAAGGATAAAAAGAAGAAGAGAGGAGGATAAAAAGAAAAAGAGAGAGGGATAAAGAAGAAAAGATTGGGATAAAAAGAAGAAGAGAGTGGGTTAAAAAGGAGAAGAGAGAGGGATAATAATAAGAAGAGAGGAGCATAAAAAGAAGAGTGGAGCAGAAAAAGAAGAGAGGAGGATAAAAAGAAGAAGAGAGGAGGATAAAAAGAAGAAGAGAGGAGGATAAAAAGAAGAGAGGTTGATAAAATGAAGAGAGGAGGATAAAAAGAAGAGAGAGTGATAATATTAAAGAGATGGGGATAAAAAGCGGAAGAGAGGAGGATAAAAAGTGTAAGAGAGGAGGATAAAAAGAAGAAGAGAGGAGGATAAAAAGAAGAGAGGAGTATAAAAAGTAGAAGAGAGCGGGATAAAAAGAAGAAGAGAGGGGGGTAAAAAGGAGAAGATAGGAGGATAAAAAGAAGAAGAGGGTGGGATAAAAAGATGAAGATGGTGGGAAAAAAGAAGAAAGGAGGATAAAAGGAAGAAGAGAGGGGGATAAAAAGAAGAAGACAGGGGGATGAAAAGGAGAAGAAAAGAGGATAAATAGAAGGAGAGAGAGGGATAAAAAGAAGAAGAGGGTGGGTTAAAAAGGAGAAGAGAGATGGATAATAATAAGAAGAGAAGAGCATAAAATGAAGAGAGGAGGATAAAAAGAAGAAAAGAGGAGGATGAAATGAAGAGAGGAGGATAAAAAGGAGAGAGTAGGATAATATGAAGAGAGTGGGATAAAAAGAGGAAGACAGGAGGATAAAAAGACTAAGAGAGGAGGATAAAAATAAGAAGAGAGGAGGATAAAAAGAAGAAGGGAGGAGGATAAAATAAAGAAGAGAGAGGGATAAAATGAAAGGAAGGAGGATAAAAAAAAGAAGAAGGAGGATAAAATGAAAAGAGGAGGATAAAAAAGAAGAAAGGAGGAGGATAAAATGAAGAGAGGAGGATAAAAAAAGAAGAAAAGAGGAGGATGAAAAAGAGGAGGATAAAAAAGGAGAGAGAGGATAATATGAAGAGATTGGGATAAAAAGGAAGACAGGAGGATAAAAAAGACTAAGGAGGAGGATAAAATAAGAAGAGAGGAGGATAAAAAAAGAAGAAGGGAGGAGGATAAAATAAAGAAGAGAGGGATAAAATGAAAGGAAGGAGGATAAAAAGAAGAAGAGAGGAGGATAAAATGAAGAGAGGAGGATAAAAAGAAGAAGAGAGGAGGATAAAAAGAAGAAGAGTGGAGCATGAAAAGAAGAGAGGGTGGTAAAAAGAAGAAGAGAGAGGGATAAAAAAAAAAGAGGAGGGCAAAAAAAGAAGAAGAGAGGAGGATAAAATGAAGAGAGGAGGATAAAAAGAAGAAGAGAAGAGGATAAAATGAAAAGAGGAGTATAAAAAGTAGGGAGGAGGATAAAATGAAGAGAGGAGGATAAAAAGAAGAGAGGAGGTAATATGAAGAGATGGCGATAAAAAGACGAAGAGAGGAGGTTAAAAAAAGTGGAGGATAATATGAAGAGAGGAGGATAAAAAGAAGAAGAGAGGAGGATAAATAGAAGAAGAAGAGAGGAGGATAATATGAAGAGAGGAGGATAAAAAGAAGAAGAGGGGAGGATAAAATTGATCTTGTTTTAATTTGCAGTTCGTGCATTGGTATGTTATTTTTGCTGACAGCAATACATTTGTCTTTTTACACTTGATGTATAGTCCTTTATTCTTGCTTTCTCCACTGCCTTAAGTAGGTGTTCCTATAGTTTATTTTCTGCATATCTGCAATGAAGATTGTAGCCAATAATATTTAATTCTCTTAGGAATTATAATTCTGTTAGCATTGCATAAAGTTTGAATAAGGATGGCGAGAAGACGCATCTTTATCCTACATGAAAAATAAAAACCAAAGATAACACATGATGTTATCACGTCAGCCTTTACTAACAAAATGAAGATTTTATTAACTTTCATTTATAATGTTTTTATCAGAAATAAGATTAAGTTAAACCAGTCTGGGTAGCTTATATAAACTGTCAAATGTTGTTAATGTTCTCGCTACAAAACTCTTTTTTCCGCTTATTATCATCGTGTCCTTCCTATGATTCGACCAATAGCGACTGGGCACATCAGCAAACGTCGTTATTATTTTATATTTTATATTGTCAACGGCAAGGATTGAAGAATCGGAAAACCGAGTTCGAATCCCAGTCAAATCCATTACATTCACTAACGAGCTAATAAGGGAAAGATATGAATCCTCTTTTTATCTCTCCAGCTATGGTTAAATAGCAGGACAGACCGGGTTCTATAGCCTTGGATGGCAACTGGTCTACCGTAGAAAGAAATGGCAACCTACTGCGGGAAAAATCTGCCTCGTCATTCATGTATCGAAAGATACATAATCGCCTCAGTATGTAACTGATTGCCAGCACAATTGTTACTCAATTGTTGCTGTCCACGATCATACGGAGAAGAAATTTTTATTACCATAGAAGAGATAATTACATTAAATTATGACATTACTTGGATATAACTAACTTAAAAGAAACGATTTGCAATCATTGTATAAAAAATTCAGTTTGTTTTTATATCTTGAAAACAAACTCTGCATTTTATTTCTTTATGATAAGGGATCCCGATAAACGTTACTGTCACGGGTATATTTATATATATGAATATATTAGTTAGATATCTAACTTTTAGAATTATATCATTGCTGCATTAGTCATAGAAATCTAATTAGATTCGTAATATTTAATTAAAGACCAAAATTAATACAGGTTTGCAAATTTAGATTAAATACAAAAGAACTATTGAAAGAAGGATCTGCAATAAAATCAATCCTGGCCTGGCATCTCGATTTCAGTCGCTTTCTCACTGACGTGTTGTGGCGTCCCTCTGTCTTCTCTAGGAATATTTTCATGGCAACGGATCTGAGGAGCTTTTGTCGCTGGTTCCCCGACTTCATGCATTTAAGCGTGTTACTAGATTGGCACTTAGTCCCACCCGTTTACTGTCGAAATAGTTAAATGCTTCCGTCACTTCTACTCCAAAAGTTTATTTTCTCAAACTTCTCGCCTGTGGAAGTGCCTTCCGTTTACTTACTTCCTCGATAGAACAATTTGAGTTCTACGTCAATCGTTATCTTATCTCTTCTTGAATCCCGTTCATATTTTGTCCTTTCCTCAATCCTCCCCTCCTTATAGTCAGTATTTTCTCTCGCTGTCTCTCTCTCTGTAAACCCCTGCGTACTAGTGGCATTCCCGCCTTGATTGGGGTGAAATGATTAAAAAAGAAAGAAAAAAGAAGGAGAAATAATTAAAACAATATACAAGTCATTTAAATGCAGTGTCCATTTAGAATGAGAACTGTCATTGTTCACCTTAACTCGTTTCGACTCACATCTTCGTTTGCTGTCACTGTCATAGAGGAGAATTAATATTACGTAGTAGTTCTTTGTTTAAAATAGTATTATCCTATTATTTTATTCTTTTGATAGTTTTATGCCTTCAGTAAAAATTGTTTTTTTTTCTTTACGTATGCCAAACTTTGCAGTAAACTTATTTTCAATAGATAGTCAGAAACTGTAACTTTCAAAAGTTTCTAAAGCTTTGCAATTTCCCAGTCATTTATCTGACATCCATTTACACAAATACTTGATGTAAATTACTCGCCGTTTCGCTATGTCCTTCTTTTTTCTCACGAAGTTCTGTGAGTATTATATTTTCCAAGAACACTCTACATTATATGTTTGGGAAATTCCAACTTTTTATGATTGTAAGTATAAATTTAAATCCAGTTCCACTTTCTTTAGACCTTACCTTGTTGCTTTCGTGTTTTGTCCATTGTCACCTCAGTATCAATCTGTAAAACCACAGATATTACTTCAGGTACGGAAACACCACGTTTAAACATTGGTTTCCCTACGTTCACCGAAATTAACGAACCTAGTCAGTACCTAGATTTGTGAATGCTTGGGAATACCAAATGCTGTAAGCTTGAATTTGCCGGTGGTGTAATGGATAATAACTCAGAACTTCAGTTAATTTCGTTATATTATAAAAGTGTGAATCCACTTCTTCTCCCCAAGATATGGGTTAATAAAGACCTGCATTATTATACAGTTATTATCTCCAAAATAAAATAAAAATGCGTACAAATATTTAAATTTCGCTATTAAATAATTCATAGAGGTTGATATGCCGCTAAACAAAAAAAAAACAACCAACCAACAGATGTCGTTTCGAGTCACTTCTCACTGTCAGAGAGGAGAATTAATATTACGTGGAAGTTCTTTGTTTTAAATGCCATTTTTCTATTCTTTTAAAACTCTTTTGATAGTTTTATGGCTTGAGTAAACATTTTTTGAGGTATTCCAAAGTTTCCAGTAAACATTTCAACGGATAGTCGGAGACTGACATAAAAAAATGCTGGGAACATTTGCACATATCTAGAATGTTATTAAAACCTTTTGAAATTTAGCATTATTTCTTAAATGCACGGATGCAATATCTGAAAAATAAATATTAACCTAGACGAAAAATATTTATAACTTCAGAAGTTTTAAAGAACTTTAATGCATCAGAGAGAATCTCATTTTCAACATCAAAGTATAAATGATTTAGAAGTTATTCATATTGATGATGAAAACTGATTCCTTTTGAAATACACTTAATTACATTCAGCTGACAAATCTTCTTATATATGATAAAATTAATTGGCTCGAATGTATATAAAGTTGAATTAGTCTACCAAATACTTTTCATATTGTAAAGTTATTGCTATCGGCTGGGTAGTTACCCAGTTCACTCTTATTGTATTGAGTCCAAAAACGGGCGTAAAATGGACCTTCGCCAACAAAGTGCGTCTGAGTTAATACCCACCTGAAAACTACGTTGTTATTATGAGAAATAATAATAATAATAATAATAATAATAATAATAATAATACAGCTTCAAGATTATTAAATGGAAATTGAATGACATTAAAAGATTGCATGCCAACACCAGAAGAATGCTTACCCAAATGAGGATGAATCACTCGAATTCAGATGTTGATAGGCTGTACGTATCAAGTGCTTTAGGAGGCCGAGTTGTAGTCTAACACTAAAGACTAAAACAATCGGATTGGAAGCCTATCTCACAAAAAACAATGACCCTCTCCAATGACTCCTCTGGAGTGGATTTGGTGTTTTAATATTTGTATAATAAAACACCAAATCCCCTTTATCAACTAAGAGGGTACACTCATCAAGAAACAGCTTAATATACTTGAAAAGCTACCAACAAAAAACAAAGGAAATACCATCTACACCAAAAGATTAAAATAGAAAGCAAAACAACTCGGCCAAATGAAGTTACAAAAACTGGGAAGATAATGCGTTGCATAACAAATACTTAAGCAAAACGAAACATGTGGACCAGTAGAAAACACATCAGTGGCTGAGGAGCATCGGGTTGAAAGTTGAGAAAGAAGGCATAATAATTGTAGGTCAGAACCAAACCTCGCAACCAGATCCTATCACTGTTACATAATCAAAGATGGAACTAACCCGAAATGCAGGATCTGTGGAAAATATGGTGAAACTCTCGACAATATTATATCAGATTGTCCGGAACTAGAAAAAATAAATATAGCGATAGACATAACAAGGTAGCGACGTTTGTGCACTAGAAGATATGCAAGAAACACAAAATCGAAACCATTGAGAGATGGTATGAGCACCAACCAGACACAGTTACCCAGAATAACGATGTAACTATTCTTTGGGACATGTCAATTCAAACTGACGCGGAAATAAAAGCCAACGGACCTGATAGTAACTTGCATAAAAGACGAGAAATTCAGGAAGTGTCTGTTGATATAGAAGTACCATCTGAGAGAAACACCTCCATGAAAATTATCAAATAATTGTCCCGATACATGGAGCTGGAGATCGAAATTAACAGGATGAGAATGTAACAATAGTAATCGCAGCTATGTGCCTCGTGAGGAAAGGGGCGATCAATTTTACTAACAGTGTCCCAGGTAACATCAACATAAAAGTTGCCCAGAAGATATCCTTACTTGGAACATCTCATATACTAAGAAAAGTGCTATCAATTAAATAACAATTCACTTATAGGACCTAAGGACCATAGTTTGTGTATCTACAGGATACGAATCAGGAAACATAACACCCAATAATAATAATAATAATAATAATGATAATGATAATATTGATCATCTTGTATCAGGTTGCACGATATTGGTACCCACTGAATATAAAACCCGACATGACAGAGTGGGCCAATATCTACACTGGTAAATCTGCAACTTCTACGGGTAGGAAACTGAAAGAAAGTGGTATAGACACCACCCAGACCCGGTTACGGAGATAGGACCTGTTACAATTCTATAGGACTACACAATACACACTGACAGATCAATTAAAGCCAACCGCCCAGATATTGTTATTAAAGACCACAAACGAAAACGGTGCCTCTTTATTGATATGGCAGTCCCTGCTGACTGCAATGTATCTTTCAAGATATTCAAAAAGTTGTCAAAATACAAGGACCTTGAAATAGAAATCTCGAAAATGTGGCATATGGGAACATCAACAATCCCTGTTGTAGTTGGAGCCCTAGGACTG